TCTCAAATAATAAAATATTTACAAATGTAAATAAAAATTTAAATCCATAGAGTGATTCGACTTCCATCATCCCACATGGCTTTTCTATCATCCACATACATCTGCCATAGAATTTCTCCAAAACTCCTGATAACTGGCTCGTTTTGAGTCTGCTACTCGTCTTCTTTATCGGAAGCTCATCGTCTACATCAACAACATTTTCGTGGAGTTTCTTAGTAGAGCGTCATTAATGTCGAAGTTCAATCTCATTAACATCATAGAAAGAAAAATAAAGCATTTTCAGCCATTAACCTTTGGACAATCTCATCATGAACGCCTGAAACGCAAATCAGCAAATAAATGAAATGTACACAGGAATCATTCATGGCCGCCCCTAACAGATGATGACAGATGAACGTATAAAGTATCCCAATCAATTTACTGAGCCGCTTTAATAATAATAGATATCCACAATTAACCATTCAACTCTAATCATCAATTGATCGCCAAAGTTGCTTTCTAACTTATAGAAAAAACATAAATAGGCCCCATATCTTTAGCACTAACCCACCAACACTATATCTTAAGCCTAAAACCACTGCTTTGCTTGCGAGAGAAAACTTAGATCAAACAAATAATAATTAAAAGTAATTTAACGTCAAAAAGCTATCAATAAAGTAATACATCATTGAAATAATAATAAAAGCATCTAAATCATCACAAAAATAAAGTTAAAGACAGCGACAAATGAACGGATGATTGACTCATGGCCCAGCAGCAAATTTTCTAGGCGCGAGAAACTAACCAAAGAGGAGTCAGAGGCGGCGTTTCACTTTTTTTTTCCCAATTGTATTCTTTTTAATGTGTGGGATAATTTTTGAGAGAGCGAGAACTTTTATGGTTATATATATAGGTAGCTGATAATTTGTGGGCATAATTATGACCAATTAATCCCGAATTTCTATTCTAGGTAGAATTTCTGACTTGACTAACGCCACCAAAAAATAATACAGTTCTAGTCTACAAAAGTTCTACTTGGACTAACACTATAAAAAAAATATCCATTTCCTAGTTCTATGTGACTAACACCTTAAAAATTTATCCCACAATATTATATCCCAGCTTCCAAGTTTTTAATTTTCTAGATGACTAACCCCCCTTTAAGTGCCGGGAAAAAAGTACTTCATATAATCCAAATCGTTAATTACACTTAATTAGTATCAATTTGGTAATGCTAGCAGCTTTAAATAAATTGCTTATATATATACATGCTATATATGCTTATATATATACATTATATATGTATATGTATAAAGAACTTATATAAAATTATTTATCATATATAAAAAATTACTTAAAGTTGTTAAGAGTTTAACAAAACTGTTGCTTAATATCATTGCTCAAAATATACCGCTTCATATATGATACATAAGCCCTAAAAAAAAAGCTACTTTTTAACAGCATCGTAATGTTTCTTATAAAAGTAAACCACTAAAAGTAAAGTAATTTAATAGGCATGCAAAAAAAAATTACAGATATTATTAATGTTTGTCCTTCTCAAAAAATAAGCAGGGGAAAAAAAAACTCATCAAGGTGAGTAGCCAACGTCAATAAAATCACGAGCGCATCCAATCAATTCAAGGGCAAGCGACAATGTATCGCGTGCTCTAGAATTTTGAAACTACCACGAAGCAGTACAACCTTGTCGTAGGCCAACAAATTTTAGGATTAGAGGCTTGACGTATTTTCTTCAATTTGCGTTGCGAAAAACAATGGCCGAAGAGAGCCGCAAATATTGGCACTGCTGACTACATTAATTAAAACAGGCTCCCACCTGCCGATTTGATCCCGACGTTCGGACCACGAAAGCGTCGGCCGACAGGCCTCGACGGCTGACCCACGGCGCTTCGCCTCCCTCCGCGCACCTGAACCCTTGACCCCTCATCGGCGGAGGCAGCCACCGTGATGCCCGCCCGGGATCGGAGTTCGGCCGACCGCAGCCCGATGCGGCCGAGGTCGGCTGCGCCGCCATTCGGCGTAGAAGTCTGACCCTCACGCACGCGCCGCGCTCTCCGTTGCCCCCAGAACTCCTCCTGCAGACGCCCCTCCTCCAACCCCCAATCCCGCAGGACAGACACGCATCACCTCCCGCACACAACTTCGTCACTTCCTCTCCGCTACTCCTCCCACTGTCTCCCTGCCGCCCATTAATTAGTACTTTCTATATTTTATTATAAAGTACGACGCGTGTAAAAAAAATGGATATATATATATATATATATACCTTAAAGACGGCCGGGCAGAGACGGCCCACTTCTCGCTGCCCTTTTAGGCCCGACGACGCGGAGCAGCGTAGGAGGAAAAAGTAGTCCCCCAGTCAGAATGGCCTCCCTTCTCGATCCCAAGGCGCGCTCCCGTACCCCTCGTAGGTTTCGAGGACTGCTTCGCCGTACGTTGCTTGTCTTCCATCGGGAGATGAAAGAACCGCCATCCAGTCCTCTCTTGGCCTCCTCATGAGGCCCGGTCAGACCCCGTGGCTTCACGACCTGCGAAGAACCCCCACCCTCCGGCACGGCGTCCGACACGCGACTGGACCGCCGCGCCCCGCGCTTGGCCGAGGTCGACGTGGGGATTCTTCCGCAGGCGGCAGCTGCAGGGCTCGACGAGGCCGCGCCCTGCGGAAGGGCGGTTTTCACGTACCTCTCGGGAGATGACGGCGCAGCCGCTGCTCGGAGACCGACTGGGACCCGCGCCACGACCGGCTCCGGCCAGCCTTGAAGGCAATCGCCCATTTGTCGTGAGAGATCAGGTCACGGGTTTAATGGGGCTAGCTGCATATGAGGTACTAGCTAGGCACCGCGATATCTCCAAAAAAAATGTTGCATGCTGGTCGCTAAAATAAGAGGCTGTAAAGCAGCAGAGGAGCATTTCCTTCTTTGTGGAAGAAATTGGTCAGTGGAGTTGATTATGGGTTAGAGCATAGAAAGGGACGTAGAGAGAAACGTGATATAATTGAGGAGGAAAAAAAAAATTTCTTTGGTACTCTATGAGCACCATATCGTATCAATAGAAAAAGTCTAGATGGCACAAATTACTTGTAAATAAGAAGGTAATAAAATTAAAATTACTATTAGGCTGCTAAATTCTCATAAATTGTTCAAAATCAGTCCTTCTAATTGATTATTTATATAGAATTGGGACCTAATAACAATTTATTTGATTTGACGGGATAAGTTTAGAATAACTTAAGAATTGAGGGACCTTGAAGAAATTTTAGCCATTGGAGAAACTAATTTAAAAATATTAAAGATTTAAGGTACCGTTTGGCAAAGGGTTAAGTGAGGGGTTAAGGAGACTTAACCCCTTCTTAACCTGCCAAACACAACAAATTTATATAAGGGTTAAAGTGAGTTAACCCTCCATAATTTGCCAAACATAAAAAATATAGAAGGGTTAAGTTAACCCCTCTAGAGGGGTTAAAATGAGTTAACCCCTCAAAATGAGGGGTTTACTAATACTCCTATTTAGATGGAATAAGAGTTAACCCTTCTAATTGTAAAAAAAATAGTCAAAATCATTATTATTCCCAAACACTAAAACTGATCATAAGGGCTAAAATAAAACTTATTTAACGGGTTAATAATTTAGTCCTTCGGATTATCAAATGGGCTAAGTACATTAATCCTTCTCTTTAACCCCTCTTCATTAACCCTTTGCCAAACGGGGCCTAAGGGACTTATCTTATACCCTTATTTGTTTCTCTAGTTATTTATTAATTATTAAAAAATACCTTTTTCTTGTCTAGCTAAGGGGTTTGAGAGTGACCAAACACTTGGCTGATTAAAACATCAACCGGATTAGTTTTGATCCAAGTAGAAGTTGGTTTATATTCAACGCGAATAAGGGCTTAAATTTAAAGTAAGAAAACTAAGTTTGTAGTTGGTCTAATTATCCAAACAACAATTAAAGAGGTTAGCTCCACGAGGCAGTTCGGTAGGTCACATGGTATAAAACTGTGTCGCTCTCCCATGCGGGCGCCTAGGTTTAAGGAATAAATGACAGGAGATCTCTATGCTAGTTCCACCAAGCACATAATTGATGTTAGATCCACAAAGCACATCTAGTCAATGTTAGATCCAATACTCTATTAGAAAAAATTGTCTCAGTTTCACGAACGGAGGAGATAATCTTGGTTGTCTTGATCATTATCAAACTTTCTTATACTTTTTGTAATTCGACACATGAGTTTATATCTCATGGGATTCATGTGCCTTTATTTACCTTTAGCGTTCAACCTTATAAGCTCAGGAATCACGTAAAAAGGCCAACAGAATAAATGCCCCACTTACAAAAAGAGGGGAACGTGGAACAATTCATAAAGGCGATTCATTAATTAATTAAGATATATAGAGAGGGAGAGAGACACTAAACAAATTTTATATGATTGTAAAGTACTCTCCTCCAAATTTTCTACTTTCTATGAAAATTTTACAAGTTACTCTATCTACTAAACTGTGTGGAGAATTTTTTTTTCCTACAGAACTGGATAATAATTTTTATTAAAAAATGGGTCAAGATCATTTTAAGTGGATCAATTGTATGGGTATTATGTGACGTGCTTAGATGAAAACTAAGATTAATATTAAATTACATGGTATTCAAATTCAATTGGATTCGCATTGGATATATTTTTTTCATTGTTTACTAAAGATTTGACTAGAGATGATAAGGCTAACAAATTCTTCTCCAACATAAATTAATAAACGGAGTAATATTAGATTCTTCTAGATTTTGCTTGACATTAATATCCCTCTTTAACATTATCACATTCTATATATTTGAATATCCATCAAATTTAAGGATGGTGACCTCTTAAAATGTAAACGTACATAATATCTCTCCACCTCGGCGAAGTGTTTCCAAAACTGAGCCGACACCAACAAGAGCACCAATGTGTCATCTCTCCAAATATGACTGCACCAATGTGGTTGCCTACATACCCCCTCTCCCAAGGGATCAAGCCGCCCGTAGTTCATCCAAATGGCCGCGAACGACCTCAACAATCACGAATTTGTAACAAGTTTCTACAATGATCAAACTTGTTGCTAAGAACCACCTTTGTGAGCATATCCGCTAATTATCTTTTGTGTGGACCCTCACGAGCTCCACATCCCTATCTTCAACAACTTCTCGAACGAAGTGATAACGAACGTCGATATACTTCGTTCTCGCATGAAAGACCTGAATCTTCGCCAAATATATAACACTCGTGCTATCACAATAAATGGTGACGGATCGCTGTGAAACACCAAGATCCTCCAAAAGTACTCGAAACCATGATATCACAATAAATGGTGACGGGTCGTGCATGTATCTCGAAACCATGCTCACTGCCTGTGACCAATTCGGCCTTGTACAAACCATGGCGTACATCAAACTTCCAATTACGCTCGCATATAAAGTCTTCGACATCAACTCTCGATCTTTAACTGTCTTTGGTGAAAGGTCAGCTGAAAGCTTCAAATGGGCTCCCAATGGTACACTAATTGGCTTCGTTTCCATGCTCACATTGAATCGCTGTAGAACCTTCTTCAAATAAGCCACATGTGTCAAACAAATTCTACCTTTGTTTCTGTCTCTGCCGATCTCCATCCCCAAAATGCGCTTAACTTCACCCAAATCCTTCATCTCAAACTCACTCGAAAGCTGAATCTGTTTGCGGTGAAAGTTAGTTTATTTGTAGCTGAATCCATTACACTTGTTTATCAATTACAGATTCAAAAAGAGTTAATCTTTTTATAAGATTACTCGCTTACACAAATAAATCAAAAAAATTACAACTCTCTTCAAATACACGCAGAGAACGTTTATCACCCATTGCTTGCGTGGGATCTTTGCCTATGCCAGGGACGCGTTAGTCCGTGGACCATTACGGATCAGATCCGGTTGACAGAGTGATTATTTGAAGCTCTTACTTCACAAAGGAAGTAATCATAGAAGTGATAATCTCGACCAAACAAGATTACAACTCTTCTTGAGATCAAAACCAAGTTTGATCTGGAGGAAAGGTGAAACGGGCCTCAGATCCTTCGAATAGCTCCCTTTTTATGCTGAAGTTCGCCAAGATTTGCTAGCCCTGCTCTAAAATTCATGCTCCACTCTTTAATTTAACAGCACCTTACCCTCTAATTTCTGATCCTCTTCGTATAGGACCCTAGTCTTGTATTTATAGGCTTCGGTTGCGGTGTTTTCGGATAAGAATTAATGATTTGATGTTATCCTTAGTTAATAACTACTTAACCATGTTTAAGGATCGCATCTATGTTAGACCCTAGAGGGGAGTGATTAGGGTCTTATGCTAATCTAATTCAATTTTATGCCAATTTAAAAACTTTATTGGTTAATTAATTCTTGCAAGAGATATGTAAGTGATATATAAGCAAGAATGTAAATTACAAGCATAAAATAAAAGTACACAAGGCAAACTCAAACACAAGATATGATCACGGAGTTCGGTCCCTACGACTAGGGGTGTGCAACGGTCGGTTCGGTTCGGTTTTTACCAAAATTTGAACAACCGAACCAAACCGCCTATAATTCAAAACCGACTGAACTGTTGCAAGTCGGTTCGGTGCGGTTCGGTTCGGTTTGTTCGGTTCTAACTTCATCAAACTTCTTATCAAATAACAAACTGTGTTAAAGAAAAAAATATCAACAAAGTAGGAGATTATGAAGCATTAAACACTAATATAATGATATTGCTTTCAACCCATAATGATCCAGAAAATGAGTTTAGAGTTTGAGTCTTTGACTCTTTGGTGATGGGTCGGGTAGGGTTTGAGATCAGAATGAGTAGTATTGCACTATATTCGGTCGGTTCGGGTCGGTTCAGGTTGAAAAGTTTTCAAACCGACCCGAACCACCCTACTCATAAAACCGATTTTT